GAATGCCAAGAGTGTGCAAAGCAGTAATCAGAGCAAAGGGTGGCTATTTTGAAGAAACTAGAATATAAAACATGTTTTCAGTTATTTCACCTTTTTTTGTTAAGTACATAACTCCACATGTGTTCATTCATAGTTTTGATGCCTTCAGTGAGAATCTACAATGTAAATAGTCATGAAAATAAAGAAAACGCATTGAATGAGAAGGTGTGTCCAAACTTTTGGCCTGTACTGTATATGTGATTCTGATCAGGATTTTCTAAATCAATCCATGGACATGCAGCAGCATTTTAGACAGAGAGGGTATAAATCCCAGCTTCTTACTCAGGCTGACAATAAGGCTCTGTCACTGGAGAGGAGCAAATTGCTCAGCCCTAAACCTAAACAAGAGCAAGTTCAGAAATCCTACTTTGTCACACGCTACAGTAAAGAAGCTGTCCAGATCAAGCACATTATAAAGAAAAATTGGGATATCATTGAGAGTGACCCATCTTTACAGGAGATATTCCCTGAATTGCCAGGTATCAGCTTTAGAAGGGCCCCTACAATCAAGGATAAACTAGTAAGGAGTTATCTTCCTGCTAACAAACCAGACAGACCAGGCTTTGTCGACCCAAGGGCAGTTTTCGCTGTGGGAACTGTAAATACTGTGAAAACATGGTGAAAACAGACACTTTTAGGGATATGTTTAATAATAAAATCTATTCTATCTCAAGTTTTATTAATTGTAACACTACCCATGTTGTGTACCGACTTGAGTGTATTTGTGGCTGTTTCTATGTGGGCCTTACTAAAAGAAGACTGAGGGACAGAGTGGCTGAACACAGGTACGCCATTCGGACTGGAAATTTGAATTATCCTATGGCCAAACATTACATGGAAGCACAACATTCAAATGACTCATCCCTAAGAGTGTCAGGTATTGAGGTCATTAGCTTGGGTGCCAGGGGTAGAGATAAAGTCAAACGCCTCAAGCAAAGAGAGGCATATTGGATCCATGCCCTTAAGACCACCAGCTTTCCTGGCCTCAATGAGGATTTTGACCTCTTATCCTTTTTGTAAATGTTTTTTTTTTTTTGTTTGTTTTTTGTTTTGTAAATGACAATGTGTAATGGTCCTGACAAGACAGCTTCACTTTATTTAAGATACTATGCAGATGTCATCATTTGCGCATCTGCATTGGAGGTTTTGCTTATTTCTTTATCTTTATGTATATACTTGTATTATTTTTCGTATGGTTTCTATTGTGGATTCTATTCTGTTTACATTATTCTTATTTAGTTAAGATTTGACAGTCTGTGAGAGGGGCTCAATAAGTTTGTTGTCTGATGCCCCCAGAAGTTACAATCTTACAGTCTTCTTGTACTAATTCTTGACTGAGGCCTCCTAGAGGCCTAAAGAAAATGGCACAGACTGAATGATTCACAGCTGAAGTGATTGCAACTATAATTGCTTTGTTTACTCTCTGGTCTTCATACACCCTGAGGAAGGCGCAAGCTGACACACGTTGGTGTTTTTAATGACTCTTGCCCATTAAATAAAGGCTTTTAAATTTTTCCAAACCAACCTGAGTGCCTGGACTTTGATTCTTTAGGTAACAGACTCAGGTGAAACACATGTGGGTGCTCAAGTAATCAATTAAGCAGACCAATCAAATGAGACATCCTTAGGAAAGGTTTTGAGCAGCCCTGATTAAAAGAGAGAGGAAACAAACTAAACCACTGTCATGACAAGGCGTAAAAGCACACAGATCAACAATGCCAAGAGGAAAGGAGATATCCAAGGACATCAGGAAGAAGGTGGTGACAACCCATCAATCTGGGGAAAGCTACAAGACCATCTCCAAAAGATTCAAGCTCCATCCATCCACTGTAAGACAAGTCATTTACAAATGGAGGGCACTCAGCATGACCGCAACTCTGCCCAGACGGCCATCAAAACTCCAACTCAACATCACCTCCAGAGAGTTGCAGACCTCTTTGGCAGCATCTGGGATAAATATACATGCATCTACATTCAGGCAAAAATAAAGAGACATGGCATTCATAGGAGAGTTGCAGGAAGGAAACCTCTGCTCTCAAGAAAGAATAAGGTTGCCTATTTAAACTTTGCCAGAGAGCACTTGGACAAACCAGAGCCTTTCTGGAAGTCCATTCTCTGGACAGATGAGTCCAAAATTGAATTATTCGGCCATAATCACAGGCACCATGTTTGGAGAAAAGTCGTAACTGCATATCAAGAAAAGAACCTCCTCCCAATAGTGAAGCATGGTGGTGGAAATGTGATTGTCTGGGCCTGCTGTTCTGCCTCCGGACCTGGAAGACTCCATATTATTCAGGGAACCATGAAACCTAGGCCTATCAACAAATTCTTGACCAGAATCTCCTGCCATCAGTCAGGGAGTTGAAGCTGGGACAGAAATGGATTATGCAACAAGACAACGACCCAAAGCATTCCAGCAAAACTACCAAGGAATGGCTTAAGAGAAAGAAGGTTTGCACTCTGGATTGGCCCAGTCAAAGTCCGGAGCTCAATCCCATATAAATGCTGTGGTAAGATCTGAAGCGGACGGTACATGCCAGATGTCCCCCCAACCTCCGACCTTCTCAGCTGGCTGACTTCTGAAAGGAGGAGTGGACAAAAATCCCCAAAAGCAGATGTGAGACACTGGTTCATTTTTCCAGAAGACGTTTGGTGAAAGTAATGGCTGCAAAAGGAGGTGCCACAAGCAGCCTGTGAGCATATACCACCTGTACATATAAATATTACAAGTCAAGAAAAACTATTGTGTAATATGTAACGTGTTTCTGTTAATGATGTAACCTCTAATCCCTCTATCTCTCTCACCACAATATACCACAGCGGTCCATCAGAATTCAAGGCTTTAAGCATGAGTTAGGGGCACCCTCTCTCCCTTGAATCCGGGCCTGTTCCCTGGCTCTGTGGGGGATCGCGGGTTCAGGCGGTTTCCCCTGGGGGGCGGGTGCGTCTGGACTGCTCGCCCTGTGTGCCTGGGGGTGGTGGGGTCTCCTTGTGTTCCCTGGGCCTGGGGCGGCGTGGCCGGTCCCCCCTGGGGGGCTGTTTCCGCCCCTGGTGGTGCGGGGTGAGTGGGCTCTCCCCCCCCTCCTTCGCTCCTCTCCCGCCCTTCCCCCTCCCTCCTCCCTCCCCTCTCCCCGTCCCTCCCTGCTCCTCTCTCCCCGACTCAGGCGGGCCTGGGGCCCTCCCCGGGCTGGGGGCCTGGTGTGGGGGCTGGGTGCTGCCCGCGGGGGGGTGTTCTGGTGCCGCGCAGGGTGGGCCTGCCCGTTGGTGTGCGGCCAGCGGTGGGGGGCATGTCGGATGGGCCGGGGGTCCAGCTTTGGGTCTGGGGCGGTCTTGGGGGGTGCTGGCGGGGGTGCGGGTTGTCCTGTGCTCCTGCATGCCGGGGTCCGGGGGGCTGGGTGGGGCTCGGCGTCCGTGCATCCTGGTGGCGTGCCTCGTCCTTCTGCTGGGGGTCGGTTTGCTGCGGGCGGTGCGACCCAGGTCGGGACCGTTGCATGGGCCTGGCGCTGCGGTTGCTTGGGGGGCGGGGTTTGGTTGGGGCCCGTTGGGTTTCCTTGGGGCCTGCCTGGCCTGCTGTCCATGGGCTTTGGGGGCCTCGCTGCACCGGGGTCTGGCTGGCACCACCTTCTAGCCCCTCTCATCCAACCCTCCAGCCCTCGGGCCGGGCCTACACTGGCCTGGCCTCCTAAACGACATTTAGTTCACTTAGCCAGGGACCCCATTTACATCAAGGTGGTGTCGCTAGGTTCCCAGTGTGGGGAGGGGTCCTGTGGCCCTGTGGCGGGTGGGCTGGATGGCTGCCGGAGTTCTGCCTCTTGACCAGCTATGGCTTTTGGGCCCTCTGCTACGGGGTCCCGATGGGGGATTGGCTGCTCGTGGTGGGCCGCTCTCTCCTGTGTGTTGGTCAGGGTCCGTCCCGCGTTGGGTGGTGGGTGGGCGGGCCTTCCTGCCCCGTCCTTCTGGGGTGCATCTCTGGCTCTCTGGGGGTGCTGGCCATTGCGGCCCCGGGTCCCTGGGCCTGCGTGGTGTCCTGCGGCCTCTGCGGCTCCCTGGGCGTGGGGTCTGGGCACTCCTGCGGCCTTGGGGTGCCTTGCCAGCCACCTTCCCCCACTGGGCTGGGACATTGACCCTGGACCCTGGTGATGGTTCTCATAAACACATTGGGAGGGTTCAAATACACGCATGCATGTTCAATACTTCAGCTCCGTGACGCATCGCAAAGAACCGATGGGATCACTCAAAAGGGGCTCAGTTGCATCTCAAACCTACCACACTGCTCTGGCAACTCTTCTCCACAATCGGGCTTTCCTCCACCACCAGGACTCTCACATTTCTGGTGTTCAGTATAGACTTCTCTTTTGTTTTTTTTTTGTTGTGTTTTTTTGGGTTTTTTTTTTCCTTTCTCTTTTCTTTATTATACATTTATTTGTTTATTTTTGGTTATCTGTATGGAGCGCAACAACCTCAAGGCCACAATACATCAGCTACACTGCCTGTTTCTCCTCTGTTTTTTTTGTTTGTTTGTTTTTTTTCTTCTCCTTCTTCTCCGCATGCACTGTCACTATATAACTCAGGACTTAAGCACCTGTCCCTCAATCCCCCCTGCTTGTCCCTTACTTTCCCCTTGACACACTATGGTGTATCACGGCCCTCTCTGGCTCATACTAGGAAGTTTTTCCAATAAAGGCTGATAGGCTAGTCTCCAGGGAGGGTGGGTGACGGTCACAATCACGCACAGTATGGGTATAAAATACTTGACTGCAAGACTAACAGTGCATCAATCTTCATAAAAAGCTTACACCCTTTTGTGGCGCTAAGCTACGAAGACTAATGCAGACAGGTATAAAAAAAAAAGAGGTGCCACAAGCTACTAACTAAAAGAGTTTTTTTTAATGTTTGTAGGGTTCGCAGACTTTCAAGCAGCACTGTGTGTGCTGGAGTTCAATCAGCTAACATTAGCTTACCTGTGAGAGTCATCTCTGTCGACACCCTGTCAATAGCCAGAACATCCTCGGATCCATCATCACAAGGCTCTATGAAAAACTTCTCCGGTGTGGTGCGCCTGGTTTGACACACACAAGAGCTGTTTCAAAACCCACAAGTACTAACATCGCACCAGCAGCAGGGCTTTGTGTAATAACGTCACTAATACAGAATAATGCCAACCACAAACAGCTGGAGGCAGATAACACATAGAGCTGACAGGAAATCCCTGTTAGCTACATGTGCTAATGTAAGCGACTCGAGGCAGCTGGTTGAGGTGTCGCATACAAGTGTACCATGACGCCATCCATTAAATCTTGTGCAAACCAGCTCCCATCTGGAGCACAGTGCTCCTGTTAAATGCAGTGATGTTCATAACTACAGGTGATCATTTGGAAAGAAACTTGGTGTGGATTCAAATGAACGTTAGCATTAGTTGCAATAACACCATGCCTGCGCTGACAGGCTAACTTTCTAAGCTGAGCTGGGTTAGCGTTAGCCGTGTCCACATAAAGTATCTGCGAACACTTTTTGCCTCTTCAGTCTGTATCAACATAAAGTTAAACTACGTGACACTATGATATTTATCTGCAGCACTTACAAGTTGAAACTCTCATAGGTGCTCGCCATCTTTCCTCCAGCTTGACCTCAGTGACGTGTCAACGACCGCTTTGGCTACTTCCGTCATCAGCTGTGAAGGAAAATAGCCGTTTCTCTTTTTTTTTTGTAAACTTTATTTACATTTCAATAATATACAAAAGCTCTCGATAGGAACATGTGCATTCTTTTTACAATACAAGTATATTCCCATTATAAATAAAATCAACAAGGCTGTAGACATAAAAAGATAATAAAATAAAACAAAAAAGGAAAAGAAAAACAAGGCACTTCATTCATATTATTAGACTTCAAAAAACCAAATATTTCGCTGCAATTTCACTCAATTTACAAATAGGCTTGTATACATTTAACAGCTTCAAGGAAGAAAAATATTTATTTAGTTCGTTTTTAAACCAAACTATTGAGGAGGGTTTATTTTTCCATTTGCATGAATGGATGTGATATTTGCCCAAAACTATAATAATATTGACCAGTTCTGAAAATTCTTTGGTAAGATTATCTTTATATAAAAGAATCTGATGTTCATCAATTGGTGTGATATTTCCTATTTTATTACCTAACCAGTCAAAAACATCCTGCCAAAAATGTGATGTCACTGAACAAGAATAAAAAAGATGTTCAGTAGTTTCACAATCCTCATTACAAAAACAACATGGCTCAACCTCAAATCCAAACCTTTTCTTTAAAGGTAGGATCTGGAGGATTTTCAAACAAAACAAAATATATACATAAACATATACAAATTAAATCCTGCTTAATAATCACCTAGGGGCTTCTACTCATGTGTGGTGGTGACTCTGTTTGCAGAGCTCCTGCCCTTTAACTGTATTTTGATGTTTTTGTGAGCTCAGACGCTTCTGGGCGGAGATTTCCCCAGCCAATGAGAGAGTGCAGGTGCCGTGCCCGAGCGTGTCCGAGCATCTCCGAGCTGCACCAGCACGAGCCTTGTCTGAACCTCTTCTGTGAAGCCTTCTTCTGTACCTCCGGGCTCCGTACACTCGGGAGAGTTGAGCCTGATAGGAGGGGCCAAATTTGAATGTGTGTTTACAAACAGCAACTGGAAAATCCTCCAGACCCTACCTTTAAATTTGACATTTCAAGCATATTGACACATTGATACAGAGCTTTAACCTGTTTACAGAACCCCTCATTTAGTAACAAATTGTTGTTAAATTTCCAAATATTGTGTGATTTCCTATCTGGTTGAACAAATGTAAACTGTAAACTAATCAGACAATGATCAGTAAGAGGGGATGCTGAAATCACACACTTTGTTACATCCCTGAATAACATCTGAGAAATAAGCCAGTAATCTAATCTTGAATATCGAGAATTATCTGAAGCACTGTTCCACGTATACTTTAAGGAGGTGGGGTTAGATATCCTCCAATAGTCAACTGTGTTTGTAGTTGTACATAAGTTGGTTAGAACATCATCATATTCAGGTTGCTGCCCTTTATGAGGTATTCGATCCATCCAGGAATCCGGAGCTATATTAAAATCTCCACCAATAATAACCTTTTCTGTCTGAAACTTAATTTTCCACTCATTTATGAGTAATCCTAAACTTTCCATCATAGCTCTATTGTTTGTTCTATTATTATATCCAAACAAAACACATGTTAAGATAAATCTTTGGTCATGTATCTCTGCTACCATCATGAGCCAATGTCCACCCATATCACTTTTATGTTCAATTATCTTGCCTGGTAATCTATTAAATAACACCATAACACCTGCTGAGTGCGTAGTCCCATGAGAAAACAAAATTTCGTCTCCCCACTGCTCTTTCCATAATTTTTCATCTGCTGTTCCTGAGTGAGTCTCTTGTAAAAAAAAAAATACAATTTGCCTTTTGTTCTTTACAAAATAAAAAAATAGCCTTGCGTTTAACAATATTTTTCAATCCTCTAACATTAATAGAAACAAACAAAATAGACATTTTAACTCTATAAAACTCTTGAATGTGCTGTATAAAGTAACTATGCGCAGGAATGAACATGTTGCCCAAAAATAACAAGTTTCAAAGCAACCAACCTTAACCTTGAATTTTTAATACAATTTACTTTCCTTCAGTTTTGTTTCTTACATTTTGAACAGGTTTATTTCTCTATTCAAGTGGTTATTTCTCTACTCCTTAAATTAACCATCGCAATAACTGTTTAAACATGTAAGGAGTTTAGGTTAATCATTTTACCTTGAGTATGCTACCTGAGAATGAAGACCCTATGCTTCCTTTAATGTCCACATTTTAGGGATCAATTCTCCGTCCATCCATCACAGCATATCCCTCTTTCAGGAAAGCTTTCCTGCCGTTGCGTCGAGCTTCCTCCACGTTTGGCCACAGCTATGCCCGAGCTTCTCTGTCCTCTTTAGAGAAGTCCTCTCTGAAGTAGATTTTCAATTCCTTGCAGACTCACGCATCTTTGGATTTTTTCCATATTTCATTTCGAATAGTCCGCATTGCAAACTGTATGATGATGGGCCTCGGCATCTTGTTTTGTGCAGCGTCGTTCTTCCTGCCAAGTCGGTGGACCATGTCCACCATCTCCCTGAGTTTGTCAACCACCACAGGAATCATCCTTGTGAGGATGCCGATGACCACCTCTTTTGTGTCCTCGTTTTCTTTTTCTTTTAATCCCAGTAATCTCAGATCCCACCTTCTCTTGTACCTTGCATTTTCTAGGCATATTTCTTTTAGGGAGCAATTTTCGATTGTCAGAGCTCCAATTTCTTTCTGCATTTTTGCAATTTCCTCCTTGTTCTCATTGACAGCTTTAGAGTTTGCCTCTATGTGGGATTCAAAGGTCCTGAGCCGCTCGTCTTGCTCATCAAACCTTTTGAATACTGTTTGGACGGCTTCAAAGATGCTTTTGTTACTTATCTCTTTTTCTCCATCTTGCTCTCCCGCATCCCTTTTCTTAAATTTCTTGGGGTAAGGGCTTGGCAGTGGTGTGTGGTCATCATTAACGTTACAGGTTACCTTCTTCCATCATCTCCTCTATCAGGTCTTCATCACATGCCTCCTGTAGTACTGCGAGGTCATAGTCGTGATCCAGCATGCTAGCGTTTTTAGCCTTAGCCATTTTGTCAAATCTTGATAAATCCAAACAACTCGATGTAGCCATAACTAGACTGTCCAGAAGGTTATTTCTCTGTGTCGGGTTCATTCTTCTATATTGTGGTTGGGTGCTGGTCTTGAATGTAAGGTTTTATGGACTCAAAATGTGTCGTTTTTTTTCAGACCCGCTGAAAGTGCAGCTGTTCACTCCGCCATCTTGGATCCTCCCCTCCTCCCAACTGCCGTTTCTCAATATGCGTTCTTGTGCGGACTTGTGCTCTTGTGGACTTATGACACGTCATCAGTCACAGCCAATTGTGTTCCACTGTTCCAATTCAAAGTTCACATCTAGCCAAGTTCAGTCCAAAAACCCGGATGTGTTCTCGACACACCCATTTCACAGGGGATGCATCGGAGCAGACTTGTGTGGACTTCAGACAGCCAGGTATCCCAGCATGCATTTCGCAACAATCATCGGAAAATGACAAGTGAGGGAAAGGCACACAATTGTAAGCCATACCGATATGTTACTGTTGTTTTGTCACACGACGTAGTGTTTTCATGCGTAGTTTAAACATCAGACCTGTGGTCGATGTTTTAATATAGAGCACAGTTGAATGTGACTGAGGTCCGCTAGATGACAGCGGTGTCAGCCGCTGACGATGTCAGCACTCATAGATAATAAACATGTGTATGAGCGCTCAGACTGCCCCAGAGAGCAGCCTCTCTCAGGTAGTCTTTTTGAAATTCGTGGCTGATATCTCTGTAGTGGTTAAATATAAAATGTAATTCGTTTGGGGTATGTCTAATGGGCAATATTCAGTCTCAGTATAAGATATATTCTTATATTATTAAATGTTGTAACATGTTATTGTTCTTCGCATTCTTTTGCATATTTAGGCCTATGTGTTTTTACCATTCAATAATGATTTTAAGAACGTATTGTATTTTATTTATTGTATTTAAAGATTAATTGTCTTTATTGTAGTATTTATTCAACAGCATTTTAAATATTGATTATCTGATATGAATTGTATACCTGCATGATGTCTGAAGTGTGGCTGAATAAAATTTTCCTCTTCACATCTGACCTGTTTGATCCATTTATATTGGTGAGGACAGACTAAATGACAAACTGCTGTCAGTATAATCCAGTACAGTTCAACAGCACCACAATCTACAACACAACACTTCAATAAAATGTTAGACTGAATATTAAACTGCTGTTGTTTTTTCTAGGTGTACCAAGTAAACTGTCAAGTCTCCATAAAAATGTAGAAAGAAAGCATAATGATGAGACAAATGCAGTGATGGACAATGACTAAGTATATTTACTCAAGTAGCTACTGTACTTAAGTACAAATTTGATGTACTTGTACTTGTGTATTTCCATTTACTTAGAGGGAAATACTGTACATTCTACTCAAGCTACATTTATTTGATAGCTATAGTTACTTTTCAGATAGTTTGTTTTATATGTTGTTGTTTCCTATTTACAAGTTGCTGTGTGTTGTTATAGATTAGACTAGTACACCAGTGAAAGGTGTTAAAATTAGTTCTACCATGACAACATTTATATGCTGCTTACATGTAGCCTACATTGATCAATTAATACTCAATACATATTCATGTGTATGATGATCACAACACTTGAAACTGGGTCACTCTGCATCATGAGTACTTTGAACTTTTAATTTTAAGTAGTCCTACATTTTGCTGACAATACCCAGATACTTTTACTCAAGTCAGATTTGGTATGCAGCACTTTTACTTGTGACTGAGTTTTTGTTCTTTGTTGTGATATTCCTGGGTACTTTGTCCACAACTGGACAAACATCGAACAGACATGCAAGCATAGCACGTCTCATCCTCATCCTCATCCTCATTCTCCGCTGTCTTTCTGGGATCTGCCTCCTCAGCTGGGCAGCCTCCTCCTCAGCCTGCAGGTACAGCAGTCCTGCTGCAATAACTGTGCCAAGACGCCTTCTCTGATCCGTTATTGATTTTTGATTTCCATTTCGCCAATGCTCAC